TCCCAGTCGGATTCACCACTTCCGATCAGGTTTTTTTTAATTTTTTTATTTTTTACTTTTTTGTTGTCGGAATTGCCTTGTTCGAGAGTTGTAAATGTAACCCTAATATCTTGTCGGAACACCAAATTCCGACTCCCGTATTTTGGTACCATAATTAGCTTTCCCGCATTTTGACGTGTCAGACCCAAAAATCCCGCATTTTGGGAATTTCCTCTAATATATAGATAGTTAAATTTTGGACCCCTAAGGCCCAAGCAGGGGTGGCCCTAGGGGGGGTGCAGCTGGGGCGGGCGCCCTAGGCCCAAAAAATAGTGTAAAAAATTTAGGCCCAATCTTAATGCTTTGTACTAAGAGTGAGTAGGCTGAATTTTTAGGCTATATCCACTAACTTCATGCGACATGGAGAAAAGATTAGTTCTGAAGGCGTAAAAAAATCTGAATAAAGACATGACTCTCAGCTAGCTAGGTTGGTGCCTATCACTGAACCGTCATTTAGGCCCTCGCTGCTCCAAAGTTCAAACCTCAATATTTCAATTGCTCATTATGAAATTCCATCAGTCAATACTCAATAGGTCATAGATAGTTGATACATCAACTTCTTGAGCCTTTTATCCTTCCTAATCCGCACATATATATGATTCTAACTTCTGATAACCTGGAGTCCTTTCTTTCTTTTATTACTCTTATGTGCTTTTATATTTTGCATTTATGCTCTTACTTTTTTCAAGATCAGTTATCATTATTTTTCACCCTTTTCAGTTTTCATTGAATTTACATTTTCGTTGATTAGTCACCTAGTTTTTGACTTAGTGATCTTGAAATCACAAATTCACATTTATACTTCCTCCGGCCCGATTTGAGTTGCAATGTTTGAGTTTTAAGGTTGAGTGACGATAAAATTAAATCATCCCCTGATAGTTTTAAAAAATTTTCAGTAAAAAAATGGTGTTTCATTAAATTTATAATAAGTTTCGAGGTGTAACAAAAATGTTCCCTAACTGCAATTTTACTTGCTTAATGCGGAGAATTATAAAAATCTTTTCTTCATTATACAATTCTTGAAGTATAATTGTTATGCATTAGATTAGATAAAAAAAAATATTTAATTTTTTTTTTAAATTAGGCCCATTATAAAATATTCGCCCCTAGGCCTTGAAACTGTCAGGACCGCCCCTGGGCCCAAGTCTCTGCAACCTAAAGGAAGGCACGGCCTTGCCGTCCATGACGTTGTAGAACTCTCGCAGCCATTTATTAGGATAAACTCACCTAGAGTATTACGTAGTATATTGAACCAAATGTGACTAACTAAAAATAATTGAACAATGCATTTGTAAAAAAAAAATAGCAACGAGCCATCAATGTCTAGCAATGTCACGCTCTCTTTTGATATCTTGATCGGCAATTTGTTTCGACGGTATGAACACCAAAGACAATTTTTTTTACTTTTCAAACCTATATACTTCCCTCTCTTGGCCCTGTGGTGATGGTTCGGGAGGGGCGGAATAACGTTGACACGATAAACAAATTGAGGAGCATAATGTTAAGTTGAGGACAATGTTCTAAAAGGCGTTGGGTGTTAGTTGGGCGCCAGCCTAGTGCCTAGCGTCTAGGCGGGGACTAGTTGATCGGAGACACATAAATTGTATTTTTATCAATATTTTTGCACAAATATGATAAGTAATTCATAGTAAAGCGGTAGTATCGTGTTTGTGTTTGTGAAAAATATATACACACATTAACATGCATGAATGATAGAATTGTCTCATGAAATAATATATGATAACTAATCACTTAACTACATTATCTTTAAAATAGTAAATAATAATAAAATTTAAGTATATATACAAACATGTACTCCGTAAACTTTTTATCTTACTTTACAAGTATCTTTCTTCATTTTAACTTTTTAAAGTTAAAGGTACATATATCTTTTACAAAAAGAAAATTAAAAATAAAAAATTGTTTGACGAATCTAGACGCCCTAGGCGGAGATTAGGCGCATTGGGTGGGCAATTAGGCGCCCTAGGCGGCCGACTAATTCACCTAGACGCCAAACCAATTTGTCGGAGCGCCTAGACAAAAATAGGGCCGTCCGACCACCGCCTAGCGCCAAGGCAGGGACTAGTCAGGTGCCTAGAGCGACTTTTAGAACTGTGGTTGAGGAGAACTGATCTAGGGTTAGAGGAATATCGCTAGTCATAGATGAATAACAACATAATGATCTTAAAAAATCTTCATCATTAATAAGGGAAGCAATCGCTTGGGAAAAACTAAACCCGAGTTCGGTCATATTCAAGCTTGACTCGAGTTAGGTTCGACTCAAATATTTCACAAGCACAATTAAAGTCTATTTATTTTAGGCTCGTGGCTCGCGAGCTTTCTTAGTAATATACGGTTACAATAATACATACATTCAAGTATAATATGATCTACTTTTATACATTCACAATATAAATACAAATATGTACGCGGTTTTAAACATAAAATAATCTTAACATACGGCATATAATATGCGTCTTTATATAAACTAAATTCTTGATGTAAAAAATGATTAGTTAACATCTCAAACTTTTTTAGTGATTTAAGATTCAATTTTCTTTACAGAAAGTACATTCATACATAAATCATGTAATAACTTAAATAAAGTACTAACTTTAAATAAAATGATACTAACTGTAAATTTTCTATGGAAATTGGATCAAGTAAAACTAAATCCCAAATTGAAGGCTATAGATCAAAATTCTACTTATTCATAAGTTGCTTAGGATTTAGTTGTCTGACTTTAAAATTTAAACTATTTGGAGCTCGTTTGGCAACACTGAAATTAGTTGAAAGCGTTATAAAAATTATATATTACTCCTCCCCGTTTTCTAAGATATACTTTGCCTTTTGAGTTATCCCAAAAATATGAACACATTTCTATTGTCATATTTGAGTTATGTACTTGTACATAAAAGTTTTACTAATCATCCTGATCAAATCAGTAATACGAATACTCAATTAGGAGTTTTGGACAAAGGACTACATGCTAGAAAGGTTTAAAGTTCATTACCTCTTCATAATGCTCAATAAATCATTCGATTATGGCAATCGTGTGCTTAGATAGTTCGACTCACTTCATATTTGCAATAACCACAAGACCCACATGGAATATATTTTTACAACCACACGAATTTTGAAGCTTTAAATTACTACGCCGTTTTAATTGGTAGAAATTTTCATTGTTCAACCAATTGTAACAAGAATCAAATACTATCCTTTCAAAAAAAAAAGAATCATATACTATAAACAGAAATATTACTTATTTATATATCTGATGGAGTTAAATCCCCATGGTACCATCAATATCAATATCAAGTTCGAACAACGTGAATCATTGGTAGAAACAATATAAAAATTCCAATGCTAGTTCTAAAATATATGTATGCTACAAAAAATGAAAACTTGATTGCTAGCTAATCCAACGATCTGATTGTTGGAAATATGATAATATAAATATTATTTTTAGGGTCACATTATTGTGCCCTAAAATATAATTTTATTAAATATGGAGAGGAGGCTGATAATTCATCAAAGAATAATTTACATATTTGGATTTAAATTAGAATCCATAGTTGTAAAGAATATAAAGTGATGTATTAAAACAATGAATTTATTTGTTCTGTATTAGAGGATAAACAGTCTCATAAGATTATAATCATTATGTGATAAGGAACGTTGTTCAAGTATCATATAAGATGATGTGACATTTTAATTTTTTCACTTATATGTGCGCCTGATCAGACAGATTATAAGTGATAGAATTAAAGGTTGTAATTTTAGAGACTCTCTAATTGTGGGAACAATGCAATAGCTGATTGGGTTATGAAATTGAATTCAAATTCAAATAATTATCCTTAATACTATTGATGGAATTCTTAATGTGGATCAGTTTTATTTTTGCCATTCAACTCTCAAGACTTAATGCATTTGATTTCCATGAAACAATCCGTTACATGAGTTCAATTTCTATACGTTCAAGCATATTTACTCCCTGGCTGCTTCTTTATTACTCCGTATCATCATTAATAGTCAGGGAGGCTAGTAAGCTACTGTATGTTTTAAAAGATCATCTCTTTGTACGTAAAGTCTAGATAATATGAGGACTCAGGTTCATTTTTCTCCTCACACGAACAAAAAGAAAGAAATATTGTCACTCGTTTGCATCTTTGCTTTCAGCAACAAGAATTTATCATATTTTATATCTTCTTTGAGAGCAAAAGTTCCATACTTCCATAGTCTCTTTTGAGTTTCTCTATTACTCGGCATATTTGGCAACGGTCGAAGGTTTCAGTCAAGGTAGCTATAAGTCTGAAACGTGGTAGGATTATCCTGGGAGCGAGCTAGCCAGACCCGTCCGAATAGCTATCGGGGTACGGGGGCTATCTTTCTTCAAGGCCAATCCATTTTTACGGGCGATCCTGCGATAAGTTTTCTTATCCCTTTTCTTCATTCAATTTAATTTTTTCTAATTATTATTATTATTATTTTATTCTTGCATTTGGCGGTTTGTCTGGTGATTTGTTTAAACTCGGGATTTTTATCTGGTTAAACTAGCATTTTAATATCATTCATCTAACCACTGATAACTTGTCATCTTATCAAGACTTCTACCACTTCGCGATTTCTCATCTTCAAACACCTGTCACAAATAAAAACATAAGACTGCAAATGAGTGGATGACCGCTCATCTTGGTGGATTGGTAGTAACTAACATGTTATATTTTTATTTAAATTGAATGTTTTACTCTAGATTTGATCTATTTAATTATATCTTGTCTGAATTATATAAGCCTGATCTGGTGTGGTCTATTTAGGTCTAGTATAGGATGTTTTTACTTGAACAGTTTTCAGTATCAGACCAGACCAGACTTAAACAGACCACATCAGACCAGATTTGACTTTCGTAGTTAAAAATGCATAGACACCAGATGTTTACCGGACCATAACAGAACAGAACAGACTAGACTTTCACAGACCAGACCAGACAAGACCAGACCAGCAAATTACAGTCCAAGTAAAAAACATCCTTAATATGTTTAAGTCTTATCTGATCTAAGTTTGAAATTAATCCAAGTAAAAGCATCCTTAATACTAAAATAATTATAAAATTAAACATATTAATGGTATAATGTTATTCTTTGCACATCACTTCTTAAAATGTAACGACGTTCAATATTATCTTGGAAAAATTTCACAAATAAGCAAAATTAGGAAAATAATATCATTTTTGTCTAGGCAAGATTCGGTTTTCACAAATAAGCTACCTAAGCTTTTTATTTCAAAAATATCACCTATATAAACTACCAAAATTAGAAACTCAGAGCTCGACCACCAAAATTAGAAACCCAGAGCTCAATATCGTTCGAAGATGGCTACCTTCCTCTGCGCGCGGAAATCCTTTGCGAAGTAGTTTCCGATTAGTAATGTTCAATCGAAGCTATCTACCACATCAAAACATCGATCTCAATCTTCCAAACGAAGATTGAATCGATCAGCTGTGAGGACTCTACAGCAAATCAAGTCTCGTTTTCATAAAATTTGATCAATCATCGAGGTCAGATAATTACAATTCCATATTTCGTTCAGTGTTGAATGTAATTTTGTTGCGTTTGTTGATAAATTGATGATGTTAAAAAAGTATGTTTCTGCGTATCGCACTACTATGTTGATCATGATTCTCGTTGATCGTTAATATTAAATAAGTCTGTGTTTCTGGATATCAACATACTTTGTAGATGTATTGATTATTAAATATAGAATGATATTTGTTGTGAATAACAGGAAACATGGAAACAATACCTGTTTTTGTTCATCACGGTGGTTTTTGGAATGAAGTCATGGAATATGTAAACTTCTGTGTTTTTGGAATTACTTTGGCTACAAACAACTCTTTTGCTGATTTGATTGAAAAGGTAGCAGATAGGATTGGAATACAAACAACATCAACCTCATTAATAGTTCAATACAAAGTGAGAGACAACTATCCACCACTAATGATACAAGATAACTCATCTCTGGTGTTTTATTTGCATCTGAAGAAACAAGATACAGATGTGACGAAATTCCCTCTATGCATCACCACTGGTGATGTACAAGAAGAAACAAATTGCAACATGTTTCTTGTTGGAAATAAACAAGTGGAAACAACATCTGGGATACAAGAAGGAACACTGTCTGAAGAAAGCTCAACGATTAGTGAAGAGATAGACATTAATGCTTTTATATTAGCATGGGCAAATAAAACAACTGATGAACTGCTACAAGATAAATTTGTGGAGTCAGAAGCAACAAAGTGCAACAACAGTGATGTAGCCCCTGAAGTAGGACTGATATACAAGAACCGTGCTGAGTTCAAGAAAGCACTGAAGTTGAATGCTATAAAAAATCACTTCCAGTACATGACTGAAAAGTCAAATAAGATTTGTTTTGTGGCTAAGTGTTTGGATGAAAATTGCAGTTGGGAGATAAAAGCAAGACAAATTGGAACAATGGGAAGGTTTAAAGTTGTGAAGCTTGTAAATACACATTCCTGCAGATTAGAAGTAAGATTAGCAGATCAAAGGCATGCAACATCAAGTTTGGTAGCAGAATGCATTCAATCTAAGCTATTGGATCCAAAGGCGCAATATAATGCAACTGATGTAAAGAGGGACATGCTACAGGAATATGGTGTTGAAATCAGTTACTTAAAAGCATGGAGAGCAAAAGAAAAAGCACTAACTAAACTCAGAGGAAAACCAGAAGAATCATATGGCTTTCTGCCACGGTTCTTGAATATTGTGAAACAAACAAATCCTGGATCATTTGTGCAACTTAAAATTAATGAAGACAACACATTCTTGTATGTCTTCATGGCTATTGAAGCATCAATTAAGGGCTGGGAATTTTGCAGACCAGTTATTGTAGTTGACGGGACATTTTTTACTGGGAGGTATGGCGGAACACTGTTAACCGCATCAACACAAGATGCTTGTGGAAAAATATTCCCTATTGCATTTTTTGTAGTTGACTCTGAGAATGATGAATCTTGGAAATGGTTTTTCAGAAATATTAAAGAAGCTTTGGTTTATAGAAGTGGAATGGTGATTGTTTCTGATAGACATGAGAGTATTGCAAAAGCTGTTTTAGAAGTGTATCCAGAATCTGGGCATGGGGTATGCATATACCATCTATTCAACAACCTCAAGACAAAGTTCAAAAGAAAAACAAAGAAAATGAAAGATAGTTTTTTTGAAGCTGCACAAGCATATACCAAAGATGACTTTGATTGGCACATTGAGGAACTGAAGAAACTGGATGAGGGGATAGTACCATATTTATACTCAGTTGGGTATGAAAAATGGACTAGAGTTTTCTCAACATCAAAACGATACTCAACAATGACTTCAAATATAGCCGAATCCTTGAATGCCGCATTGAAAAAGATAAAAAATCTGCCAATGACTGCGTTGCTACAGTTCTTGCATGCATTGGTACAAATATGGACACATATGAACAGAAATATTGCAAGAAACACATTTACCAAACTTGCAAAAGTTCCACATGAAGCACTAGAGCAAAACTACCTCAAATGCATTAAGCTAAAGGTATATAGTGCTTAAATTATATGAAGTTAAATTTTATTAAAAAGTGTGAATATAACAGTTTGAATTGCAGGTGACTCCTTCTAGTGAAGCAATATTTACTGTTTCTGAAATGAACACAAGCTTCATTGTTAACTTAGAGGAGAAGAATTGCACTTGTAGAAGATTCCAAATTGATGAATTGCCATGTATTCATGCACTGGCAGTACTCAAAAAGATGAATCAAGAGCCATACAAATTTTGCTCATCTTACTACTTAAAGGACACGAAGCAACAAACATATCAACGGACTGTGCATCCAATTCCAGATCAGGGGACATGGCCAATGAATACTTGCGATCAACTGAAAATCTATCCCCCACATGGAAGGAAAAAGTCTGGAAGGCCAAAGAAGCAGAGGTACAAGGCACACTGGGAGAGTACAAGTACACACAAATGTGGGAAGTGTGGAAACCAAGGGCACAACAGAAAGACATGTAGGAATGCACCACAACAGTAGAAAGTTTCTATAATGTAGTTTCTATAATATAATTGTTTTACAAAATCTCTCAATTGCTACTGTTCAAACTCAATTTAATATAAATATGCATTCATATTGTTAGTGTCCATTCTGTATAAGTTTTATTTATATTCTGTGACGAAAAGTTCTATTATGGGATTAAATACGAAAGCAGAAACAATAAACAACAAGAATAAACAAGTAAAAAACAACTGCTATTTTTGATAAACAAAAAGAAATGAAAAGAAACAATAGAAGAAACAATTTTTTCTAAAGAATAAACAAGCACAAACACAGTAAGGAAACAAAGTGTAGAAACATGAAGGTAGTAATGTAATTACTTAAGGAAGACATTCAGAAAACAATGACATAAACATAAGATATAAAATAAGAAATAGAAACAAACAGAAACAAACAGAAACAAATATAAACAATACAAATAGAAACAAATATAAACAATGAAAACCACTAACAGAAACAAACAGAAACAACACAAAAACATATGACACAGAACAATAATATCTTTTCAAAACAACTGTATAACAACAGTAAACAGTACAACCGTATCACAAAAGTAAAACAGTATGTTTCCAAAAGAACAAGTTCATATTTGGTTTTTACATTACAAGATCACAAAACAAAAGTACATTAATTCTTGCTACATCTATTTAATTCACTTCTTCAGCTTCTTCCTCTTGGGTTTGATTTCTTCAGCATCACTCTGGACTTCACCATTTATTTTGGACAATCCATATTGGTAGAGAAAGTAGGAAAGTCTGGTCCTGTAAAGCTCAATATCCAAAAATTCAAGAACCGCTATGCCATCGATGAAATACTCAGCAAAAGCAGCAACAAAAGCACCACAGTCACTATAAAAAGTACAATAAAAAACAATATTGTCAATGGTAGAAACATAAACAAAATATAAAAAAATAATATAATTAAATAAATGAAGTTACCATGATTCTTGGACAGGCAAGTCAAGCACAAATTTCATCTCTATATCCCTGTGAATATCCAATCCATACCTAGAGAAGTGATCCATATGTCGAAAAAACAATGGGAGCATCACAAGTAGTGGCTGCACAACTTCTTTAGCAAGAGATGCATCCCTTGGACTGTTCATTGAATTATAAACATAAATGCACCAATCTTTGATGCAAAACCTAGCAAGAATCCAATGCATCTGTTTCTTAATATACAATGGCATGAGAACATGTTCAACTTCATCCCAAGGCTTAGAATAGGGCAACTGCAAACCTACAATACAATCACATATACTTGCAAATTTTGACCAAGAAAAGGATTTCTCCAAGGTTGCAGCATATGCTTTTTGTATATTGACTTGAAAAAGAACATCAGTTGTTGTGAAACTGCATTTGCATATCTTAGTAACTTCGGCTTTTTTCCTAAAATAATGAAAGATCACATCGATATGCTGCAAGAAAAAGGGAAAAAATAGAAAAAAAAAATAATAAATAAACAAATATAAACAAATATCAACAAATATAAACAATATATTAAAAAAGTAAATAAGCATACAGAATCTGATATCATTTGACCAATGTAGTGAAGACTATGGAACCATGTCTTAGATTCCACAAAAGCAACAGTAAAGTCAAATCCAGGACTGAGATGATCAATTTTCTCAGGATACATTAACTTTGATCTACAAAATAATAAAAACTTAAGTTAATAACAAAGATATAAGAAAATCTATAATATATAATGATAATTTTAAACAGACCTCTTCCGCTTATACGCTTTTTCATCGATCCAAATATTAAAAGCCGAAAGAACATCATATGCTGGGACACAGACTGCTTCATCGACAAAAGGACATGGAACCAGGGCAACGGAAGACTGTGGAGACTCACATCCTGAAGTAAACTCACCAACAAAAGGAGATTTGACGAAAACACTAGGCTTAACACTCCTTTTATGCTTAACATTGGATTCATCGGTATGAACAACTGATATAGGTGTAATAAAAGGAACTAAAGCCATCGTAGGATTTGTAGAACACGAAGCAGGATCTGTGTTAGACAACTACAAAAATAAAAGTGAATATTAAAACAAAAATAAAATGAGAAAAAAAGCTAAAGAAAAATGAAAATAAATTCAATACCTTGGCACTCTTAAAATGTGAAACAAGGGAATCCAGTTCAGCATAAAAAGATTCATCATTAACACAATCATCACAGGGAGAAACTGGTTGTTGATCAATTGGTTGATTCTCAACAGTCATCATATCAATTACATTAGAAAAAACCATCTTTTGGCAATGCTCCAAGAACATAGAATCAAGTTCACAATGCTGCATATCAGTAACACTAGATAAAACAAGATTATGAACGTAGTCCATCAGCACAAAATCATGCTCATTTGACATGGAAGTAGTAACAGTTGAAAAAACTAGAGTGTTGATGAAATTGAATAAGACATCAGAATCTTCAGGTGAAACAACAGCTGCAACACTATCAGACACCAACTCCTGTAAAAAAAAAAATACTTCATAAACTAGTAATGACAAAAACCTTAAACCAAAGAAGGAAACAAAATAAAACAATGTAAAACATAATGCAACATATGAAAACCAAACCTGTTGATTATCTATGGCATTCACACAAGGATCAGTAGAAAATATTGGATCATGTAAGAGACCACACACAAGACCAACATGAACAAAGTCATCAGTAGCAACAAAGCGAGACTCAATCTCATTAAGAGAAAGAACAATTGTAGCATCATCTTCAGAAACATTGTTTTCAGAAACTGGAGTTTGTCTACAAGGAGTTTGGTGTGAGGATACAAAACCTGAAACTGGCTGCTTGGAAGATTGAAATTGATTAAGTGTTATAACACGATCAAGCTACTGTTCTAAAACAGTAAACTTTCCCTGAACAAATTCCTTGAAATCTGCAAGTTTACTATCTAGACGTTTTTCAAAGTCAAATAAAGCAGAGCTTGATACGGCATTGCCAGAAAAAACCTGAGGCAACTCCCCAGCATTTGAAGTAGAAGGAACACTTTGGGGCCTTAAGATATTAGCAGCAAACAAAGCATCCAATTCAGGGGATTTTTTTTCAACATCAGAAAGAACGAGATTGTGTAACTTCAACTGCATAATAGAAAAACAAAAGACAACATGTTGAAAATCAAATAAAAGATTAATAAAAAAACATAACACAAGGAAAACTAGTTTTTAAAAAATACCTGAGAAGCAGATAAACAAAGAAGTTCCATATTCAATTTCTTGAATGTGAGAGGAACAGATGAGTGCCAAGACAGTATACGGGGAAGTAGAGAACCCGATCTTGAAGCAAAAACGCCATCACAGTAATCACAGCATTCATAAAACCACACCTGAAGTGCTAAAGGAAATCCCAGAATACGGTAAAAGAAATAATCACTTTTTATCGTATCCGCTCTCACAAGTCTGCCCTTCAAATTTTGTAAAGTTATATCAAAAAGGTCCTTCCCCCAAGGGTACAAATCGCACAAACCAGCATTCACAACAGCAACATAAGTTTCACTAATAAACTTTTCCTTAGGCGAAGTAAACAAGAACAAACCAATAACATATAGAATGACAATTTTCACAGCATCTTCATCACAATCCGCATGTTGACCAAGAAAACAAGTTGCAATTGCTTCACGACTAACTTTAGAACAGTTGTTGAAATATTTTTTGGTGAGGTCATTGGTGTCTAATGAAGTAAGAGTAGACTCATCAAATTGACCAGAACACTTTAAACCAGTAACAACAGCAAATTCAGCAATGGAGAACCGCAAACGAAAACCAGAAACTTCAAACCACATCTCATTTGGAAGACTGTGACTAAGTTCTCTTAAAAGCAAACAATGAACAACTTGAGGCTGAAATTTAAGGTCTTGAAAATCTAGGAATTTGCCAAAGCAAGTTTCCCTAAATAAACTCAATTGAACGTCAGTCAATTTCGCCTTCAAATTAGATGCAATGCAATCTTTGTTATAGCTAGAAACCCTACTGTTAAACCAGGATTCACATGGAACAAAATACTCCCATTCCTGAATTAAAAAACACAACAAAAACAAAATGAAATCAACAAATTGAAATAAAAACAAAGTGAAACAAATGAAACAACAAATTACATACACAAATGCAAACAATAATGTAAATATACCAAGACGGTAAGTAATTACCTTAAATCCGCCAGGTTTGATTTTAATTTTCCTCTTATTGACGGAGATCTTAGACTTCTTCCCTTTTGCATTAGCAGAAACTTTAGCCCTCTTCTTCACAGGCTTAGAAGCATTTTCGTTTTTTCTCTTCTTCCCAGCGAGATTCGAACTTCTACTTCCAGAAGCGGAATAGGAAGAACTGTGAGCCTCAGAATCACTTCCCTTATTACGACATGCAACAGACGCCCTGGTAGTACGACGAGGAGTATTATCGTTTTTCCTCTTCTTCCTAACGACATCAGAACTTGTACCAGAAGGGGAGTGCGAAGAACTGTTAGCCTCAGATTCACTTCCATTAGCATCAGAATCACTTCCTTTAGCATCAGAATCACTTCCTTTATTCAATGCTACAGACGCTCTGGTAGTACGACGAGGATTTAAGCTTGACATAGTTCTGAAAAACGATAAACACTGATAATGCAGAGGATGAAGAAAAGAGAAGAAGAAATTCAAGGAGATGATCGAAGAAGAAGTCGAAGCAAAGAAGGAAACCGCGAAAGAGAAAAATGAAGTGCGACGGAAGGGAACGTTGTAGAACGTGCAGAAGGTTGGATCGAGATTGGCGGAAACCGTCTATAACTGAAATAAAAAAAACAAAACTGAAAAGATAAAAGTTTAAATCTGAAAAAAAAAAGTTGTTGAGACATTAGTGATATACGGGCTACTAAAGTAGCCCAAAGGGGTAATTTCCACTATTATCTTTTGACACTTGGAATAGAGAAAGGAAATTTTAAATGAACGTATTTCAATTTCAAAACAAATTAGATAACATCGAATTGATCAGATAAACTATACGAGACCGGACATAGAAAAATATGCATAAAATAAAGTTCTACTCCATTATAGAAAATTTCAGCCCTATGAAAAAATCCCAAGTCGTTTGTTTCAACCTACAAAAGTGAAAATAACTAATT